GTTGCAGGTCATTTTTTTAAGATTTATGTCTGTGTCTGACATGACATGGGAAGGACTGCATGGCATAAGAAACCTGTCAGAACTAATCAGTCTTTCATTTCAGACAGTATGGAGCAAGACACTTGAAATTGTAACAGATTATTCTGAAAAAATAACAAATACTTCCCTGAAAGTAACATGTGTGTGTATTGATTACTTTGCCTAAGAACTATTGAAGCAGAATGGTTGATTGAGCCATAGTCTGCATATTCATTTGGTTTAATTTTGTAACATGTTTGCATTTTTCTAGGTGGTATTGTATTCTATATTCCATTACATATATAACTATCCAAAGTCTATGCAACCTTTTCACTTAAGCTTCAGTGGGATATGAAATGTCTTACCACAAGACATGAATTTTCTCCAATGGACTTGATCTTTAGGTTTTCATGCACTCAGAATTCCTGTGAACTTCACTGGTCTTGTTGTTCAAGGAGTGCAGGCCTGAACCTCCCTATAGAAGCACATTTCATGCCATGTTCAGTGGGGTTGCTCCTTGAAAGTCTGCTGGAGGGGAAGGTAGGATGGCAGGAAAGTTCCTTTTGCAGAGGTATCCCCTAGCACAATCTCTGGGCAAGGTTTGTGTAGAGACATGTTTGTCAAGAGAAGACAGGAAACCTCTCCCTCTCTGCACATCCATTTTGCCACTTTTCCATGTGAAGGGTCTAGTTATAATCTCAGTGGGTGCTATATTTTACTCAGAACAAAGAGAAGATTGTGCATGGACCTTGTTAGAGCAGTACTCCTCCTCCAGTGATGCTTGTGATATGAATGTGCACAGGTTTTGGCTTATTGCATGCTATTTTGCATCTGACCTTCAGTTGGTATATCTCCAATAAAGTCCATACAAATCATGCTGAGAGTCTGGCCTTACAATTTTGCATTTATTTGTCAACCAAAAGGGATGCCTCACTTCAAACTTTCTTTTCATTGCTGAATCTTGTGTCATATGTATGCAATCTGTTAACTATCCTCCCTGTAGGAGTTCGGACCGCTAGTGTGATTATTGCTCTGACGGATGGAGAATTGCAAGATGTTCAGTTTTATTATGCAGAACAAGAAGTAAGTCACCTTCACGTTTACCCAAACTAGCTGATGTCAAACCCGTAGGCATTTACTGGCTCCACTGATTATATGGATTTGCACTTAATGGCAATTTTTTTTAGGCCAACAGAGCCAGAAGTCTTGGAGCTATTGTTTATTGTGTTGGAGTGAAGGATTTCAATGAAACTCAGGTAAGTGCTTGCTTTCTTCTTGTTTTGTTTTTCTGTTTTACTGGTGCACAAGTAACAGCATCAGATGAAGACATTTATTTAATTACTTGAGGCATAAATAATTTCGTGTCAGTGTGATGTCTCTTAGCAAATATGAAAGGGCCTGGTTTTGTTCACTGTAATTTTGTTTTCCTCATGATTTATGATTGTCTGTCTTTGCAGCTGTCAACAATTGCTGACAGCATCGATCATGTTTTTCCAGTTACGGGAGGTTTTTATGCCCTGAGAGGAACCATTGATTCAGTAAGTTGGGTATTCTGAAACCCAGAAAAGAGCACCCTTCCTGTATTAATAAAGCATACATAAAAATGATTGCCAAAAATGCCATTATCTAAATCTTTTAGATTCTCAAGAAATCTTGCATTGAGATCCTAGCAGCTGAACCATCGAGTGTTTGTGCAGGAGGTAAGTTTCCACAAGAGCAATGTGATAAGGCAAACGAATGACAATGATGAAATGTCAGTAACTACCTAATGTGGTATTAGAGCTGAAGCCTGTGGATGTGTTAGAGCATCCCCTTTGGCCATAACTAAAGCCCTGTGTGTTCCTTCTCACTTGAGGAAAAAAATCTGTGCCGATAAACAGGTAGGTGCTCTGTCTGAATGCCAGCTTGGAGAGTTGACTTAGGTAGCACTTAGGGAGTTGGGAACACCGCTTTTCAAAATATCCAAGAGAAGGAGGAGACAGAAGCGGTGTAAAACCAGACTGCCAGAGGTGCTTTAGGGTCTAGGGGTGATGTCTCTCAAATTTCTGGAAAGACTGCGTTCCTAGGATCTGCTAGGACTTGTGAGCGGTTAGAATAAGGTTTTGCAAAACATTCACAGAAGTTTCAGGTTTATTGAACCAGATATAATTAACCGCATAGGCCAAGGTACCTGATGTGTTTTTCCAAAGTACTAATGTTTTACTTATTCGCAATGAAAGAACTGTTAGCCTATATGGCAAACATGAAGTATCCCCAGAGGAGCTGTTGATAATTTCATGCCTTTCATGTCTAGTGTATTTAACTTGGATTTTTTTCTGGTTTACGTTAGCAATTCACTGCTGTGTTTTTGTCTACTTAAGAGGCTATTGCAGCGGAGTAAGAGTGACACCATAAGTTTGCTGGAAGGTACAGTTTACAGCACAGTTATTTAGATCTGATGTTTACTGTCTTGTGTTCATTTTCTTATACGCTGTAAAGATCAGCACTTAAAAATAAAATAGCAGCAATGCATGAAAGCTGACCTTGAAAACAAATAAAAATAGGACACTTGGGAAAAATCTAAAAAATATCACAGAGAAGAGAAATTGTTCACTCTTCATTTCCCCATGTCAATCGCAATATGATCTTGCCCAGAGTATTTCAATTTAAAATTAAATATCCTGTATCTTTTGAACTATTCCTAAATATATAATTGTGGACTAGACTTTCATGATAAAATCTTGTCTGTGGAAAAATTAGAAAAGGAAAGATTTTGCTTTTAAAAATCTCTTTGTGGAGTTGATAAAAAAAAAAAACAAAAACAAAAACACAAAAAAAAAACCAAAACAAAAAAAAAAACCAAAAAAACAAAAACAATTTTAAAGCTTTGAGATTTCAATGCTTTTTTATTTCATAGTGATAAATTCTTTCTTTTTTGCTTGCTTATTGTATACCACGCAATTTTTTGTGCCACAGCTTATTGCAGACTTTCCTGTTCACCAAAAATTGCATTTAGCTCCACAAAAATGTGAGTGTTCCAATAGGAGGAATTTCAGTAGTGTACTTGTAATTGTTTAGAAAAATGTTAAGAATATTGGAAAGTTGAATCTGAAACAAATTTTTCAAATGGAAATTTGAAAATATTTTTCTAAAGTATTTGAGAAAATAAATTTTCAAGAAAATATTTGCTTTTCAAAAATAGATATATTTCAGCCAAAAGTAATTTTTTACTTTTTCAAAAGGAATCAATTTGATTCCTGATTCATGAGTTCAAACCACTTCATTTTTTTTTTGCCAAGCTTACTAGGTAACTACTTTATCACAAAAGTGATTAAAAATACACAAGTACACTTAACAATAGCTTGCACTCCTTAAAAAAAAAAAATTGTTGCATTACTTGCATCTGTAAAAGTTTTTCAGTGTCTTTGTAGTTTTCAAATCAAACCAATATAAATCAGGCAGAACCAGTTTCTGTGTATTGCTGCTGATTCAGCAAAATACCGACACTTGTTTCACTTGAATTCTGAGGTTGTTCTGTCCCTGCTGACAAAGCCATCCAACAAACGCTGGCATATGGCGAAGTGTGGTGCTGAATCACCAGGGCATGAAGACTTGGATCTCTCGTGCTTGAAGGTTTGCTTGCATCAGCAGGGAGCTTGAAAATAGGAGGAAGCCAAAACTGCAGTTCCAGATAGTGCATACTGTTGTTGTGGGTTAAACGGTTTTTAGCACCAAGAATCAGGCCTGTAATAGCTTTTATTATGAGTCTAGTCCTGCAAGTCTTATCTGAAATGAACTCCTGCAAGAGGTTTTATGGTGTGAGGCTGCAAATATTTACACTTGTGCTTGGCTTTATTATCCTTTATTATCCCAGTTACTTCAACATAGCCAGAGGTTCATCTTCATAGCTGTGTGCACCACTATCTCCTGGAGGGAATCTCCTGGGATTGAACAACTTTTTTCACGGTAGTGTGAATCCAGATCCTGAATCCAGTTCACTGGACAGTCAGATATAGTTCTACTCTATATGTAATGTAATTTGTTTTTTTAATGTACTTTATTTGGATTTTTAACACAAAAAATACTGAAGCCTATGAAGTCATCTCAGAATTTAAAATGCATTTAAATTCTAGGTAATTACTAATATATTTTCCTGATAATGTATTGGTAAGATACATAGCCATTGAATCCTATATAAATATATATATATATACCCCTGCATTTAGAACTGGCTGAAAATTAGAACATAAGATTTTCTAGAAATGCAACATTCCTTTCCCTTTTTTCTAAGTTAGGCATTTTTTTTTGTTTTTAAAAATATGTAATTGAAATTTGCATCTCAAAATTTTGATCAAAAAATAGTAGACCTTTTCAAAGAGTGCAATATATTCTCCAGCAAAGAAGCTTGCTTGTTTACAGCCTTGAAATGTGACTCTCTCCATGCTTTTTGTATGCAACTTATCTGAGTGAGGAGCTGATAATCAGTTTGGCTTTTATTCAGTGTTATTACTAATTTTTAGAATCTGATACGAGATCATGAGGGCTTTGTGTTGCTCAGTGGAAGCCACTCATGATCAGGGCTTAGAGCAGACTGACCCACTCCTTGTAACTGTTATTGCAACTCCTAATTACCACCATGCTGGTGGTTACTGGTGATCTCAGCTGCCTTTTTCACTTGCCAGAGGTTTAGTAAAATGCTGGTGAAACAATTTCCATGGATGACAATTCCAGTTGGGACTCTGGCTGTCTGGGACGAAACTATCTGGGAAGTCCATTTACAAATTGATCTCATCACATTGTGACAGCTATCTGATGCTTAATGCTTTTTGACCCTGCAAATTCATCATCCCCAGTGTGGAGCAATATAGTTGGGTCCTTCCTGTTCCCTCTGATTTAAAGTGACCAAGACATGCAGCCTGTAAACAGGCTATCAGTGCAGAATTGGAGGTGCCTCATATCCTGTTTGACAGCATCATTGCTTTGATTATGCTTATGGTACACAGATGTGATTGAAAGGTTTTGTTGGATGTGGCATCCTACTGGCCACATCAACTACCAGGTGTGGATGCAAGCCGTCAGCTTCTCATCAGAGTCACAGAAGTGAAGCCGACAGCACAGTCAGCGCACACCAGCTTCAACCTACCATCTCGCTGCCAGCGCCGCCTGGTTATTTCAGTGCTGACCTTTTTCCCTTCGCTGTCTTGTCAAAAGCTACAATCTACGATCTGACAGTAACTAAGGAAGAAAAGGACGCAGCCAGAGCCAGGGCGCAAAATTAAATGAAATTAGCCATTTCAACAGACCATCATCCAGAACACCTTAATGCTCCAGAGCATCTGAAGGGGCAGGCTTCTTAACAGCAACAACCAAATCCAGTACCAGCTATTTACATTTCTGTGCAAGTCTGCTATTGAAACTACACTGTCAGCTTGTGTTGGTGGACAGGTTACTACCCAGTCAGTTGTTCATGACTGACTGTGCAGAGTGGCAGTGACGGTGAAAAGAAGGGCAGGAGAGGTAAACGGTCTTGACAAGACTAAACTTCTAGATGTAGCTTTTATCTTTGATGTTTTGTGATGAAAGTCTCTTACTTGCTGCATTTTTTTAAAGCCACTGAAATAGCTATTAAGCCTTTGTGGTTGCTGCCTTTTAAGACCATTAGTTCAGGACAGGGGGGAAATAAAAATCTAAGTTCAATTTTATTTCAGCGAGCTGCTTTTCTAATATAAAATTGAGAGGGAAAAAAAGAAATTATCATCTTAGCTGGGTGTTCAAGTCACTGTGGAGTGGGCTGGCTAGAATTAAGTATGGGGTAATGTGTGGTCCCAGGCAGGTAGTTCTGGCGGGTGGGCAGAGGCCTCATCCACCTTGGGGCTGGCCATGACTCTCAGCTCTGCTGGCAAAAAAAGGGATGCTCATCAAGAATAATTCTCAGCATATCAGCTGGGTTAGATGTGGAATGGCTCAAGGCATGAATCAGACTTAGAGTAACTCCAGATTCTTACTGAATCTGCCCTACTGTCCATTTTTATTTGTTTAAAGAAGTGCCCTCCACCCCCAGTGGGAACCAGGAGGTGTAACTCTTCCTTCAAAAAAGAGACGAAATTCTGATGCTGGCTTTGTGTGTTTGGTTCTTGATGTGCTCAGTGAGGTCTCAAATTTTATCATCTTTCTTCAGCAAAGCATCAAAGCATGTGTTTCACTTTAATATGCACTCCAGTAGATACTTTCTTTTTCTCCTCCCAAAAATATCTTCTATTCCCATGTTTCTTGCAGCCTGTGTCAGTTCAGAACACTGCTCTAAGGGAAAGTTACCATGAGGAACACCAGAGTATGAGTTTCCAGTGCTTGACCATAATTTGTGCATGCCCTTGTCCAATTCACTTGGAGTTGCATTACACCTCAATGTAGTGAGAATGTGTTTTTAGCAAGAACAAGCTGTTTGTACAGAAAAGTTGAAGTGCTCCGCATGCTCGTGCTAGCTTGCCTTGCAGTAACTTGATAGTGAAGAGCAGACAGATGAAGCTGGGTATGTATTTCAGCCACCTTTGGGCCTCAGGTAGTGTTATCCCATAATAAATCCTTCCTCCAAAGCATACAAATAACATGGCAGTGCATCATATTAAAAGTTATCAAAAACCAGATCTCATATCACTAAAAGTTAGGTACTGCTCCCTTCAATCCCATCAGCATTGTTTTCCTCTCATTTTTAGTATGTTGGTCAAAATATAATTGATAATGCGTGTGGACTTGTTCATGGTTTTACTTGCTGCTAGGGGAGAACTTTTATGCAGTTTATTTGTATTTTTCTATGTATGCCTTGAAGGTTAATTGGTCCTGTGTTGTGCTGGTATTGCCCTGGTAATTGGGCTGGTCTCAAATGCTGCTCAGCAGCTGGTATAAGCGAGCTCTGGAGGATTCAGATTAAGCAGGAGATTTGTGTGAAAGAGCAACTTCTGTGCTTTCCCTTGCTGTATGCCGTGAGTCTCGGCTGTCAGCGGGCTTCTTGCATGTAGCATCAAAGGGAGTTTCAAAAATACATTTGGCACAGAACAAATTTGTAATATCTCTCCCTGCCTGTGTTAATGATGTTACCTCTGGTCAGTGTAGCATCTACAATGCACTTTGTGACCTAGAGGGAAGTTCCCCTTGCCACCTCCTCCTGGTGCATCTCGTGCCTAGCTTGGCAATTTGGGCTGGCCCCGAGAGGAAGGAGACTGTGGCTCTGTGTCTGCCTCCACCTGTGTAAGGTGAAAGGGAAGGAAGAGCAGCAAACAGTTCTGTTGTGCTGTTATCAGAGCTCTGAGAAGTGTTACACATATAGGTTACTAAGAAAAAATGTTAAAAGCTTGCTGTTAAGAAGCTGACAAATAAAACCAGGCTTCTTAATACCTTCTTCCACAAATTACCTTTTCTGTTTCTAACTGTCCTGGGTACACTGACTCGAAGGGCTCTCACAATAGACATAAACTCACCTGATTCTACTGTGACTTGTCTCTGTGTCCCTTCCCTTCTCCTGCGCATTGCTGTTCCCAGCAGATGCTCACTCAGGCAGATCACCTTACTGATTTCTCTGGCAACAAACAGAGGGTTATTTTTCAGGTGTGTGAGCAGACTCAGTGCACTGCAACATGACCAGTGGTGCCAACGGTGGGGGGCATGTGCAGTTGTGATCTCAGTTCTGGCAGCAACCTTCCTAGGTTGGCTTTACTCAGATACAAAACTGCTCTGTCGGTAGAAAGACCATTGAAAAGTTGGCTGAAAAAAACTGACAATGCGTTTCCTGCTTGAATGAACAAATCGCAGTTGCTTATCACAGTAATGACAAAAATCACAGATGTGTGTCCCCCCCATCAGGACTGAAGCAGCAGAAGTTGAGAGCAGCTGAAGGGCAGGTTTAGGAGTGCTTGCTCTGGACAGCAGATGGTGTGTCTGAGGTGGCAGGTTTCTTGTGCCACTAGTGGTTTCCCCTGCTGGGGCAGGGGTGTGGGGTAAGAGCGCAAAGAAAACTGCAGCACCTGGGCTTTTAGTTATTCCCATGTGCAGCAGATGCTAACGGGGCTGTGCACAGGCTAAGTTCTCATATGGACTGAAAGACTGTATTTTTCCAGGTCTTGTACCAAACACAAAGCTTCCTCTCTAACCCTTAACAGGAGGCTTATGAGGGGAGTCTTTTTTGTCTGCATCTGTCTGAACAGAGCTGCTGCTGAAAGCCAAGTGCCATCTGCTGTGAAGATAGGAGGAAGGACTAGTGCTTATGGTTAACAAGGGTGTCTGGCCCAAAAGCCCTGGAAGAACCATGAGATGACATCACCCATGTCAGGCTAACAGTATTACTGTGGTACCTTTAATTAAGGCATTGGGGTCAACAGGATGCTTGCAGGAACAACCTTGAGATGAGTGTTGCTCTGTGAAGCATCAGTGCCACTATAGCACTCTTGACCATTGCTGCTGAGTATTGAGAGTGTCAGTGTGAATGTTTTGTTTTGGGCATAGGGCAGGGAACAGCCATTGTCATGTTGTAATTCAGATCACTGTGGAAGGAAACACTGTATTTGAACTATTTTTCATTACTCTTCTGTATTTTTACTTACAGAATCATTTCAAGTTGTGGTAAGAGGCAACGGCTTTTATCATGCAAGAAATATTGACCAGGTACTCTGCAGCTTCAAGCTCAACGACAGCCTAACTATCAGTAAGTTTGCAGGCTGATGGATTCCAGTGCTCTCTGTGGCTGTGTCACCTCATGAGTGACAGAGGTGACACAGCCCACTTCTCAGCCACATTGGGGGAGTCCTTGCAGTGGATGTGGGTGCAACTAAGTAGGGATCTACTCCTAACAGAAGCTCAAAATGCATCTTTAGTCAATCCTGTGACCTGTGGGCATTGTGTCGCGAGGGCTTACATAGGGAGCATTGCTGCACAATGAATTTCAACGTCATAATGCTGCATGTGATGGTTGCATACAGCAGTGAGTACTGGGTATCAGTTTTTAAGAGGGAGAAATAAAATTGCTCCTTGTTCATCACCAGTAAAAAGAAATAATGCTGTATTGATCCCCTGATCGTGTCTTCAGACTCTATTCACCAATTCAGGAGGCACCGTAAAGCAGGACCTTCCCAGGCCTGCTACATTCCTCTCTGATGCTGGTCTCATCGCGGTGAGCATGTAACGTGGAAACTCCCTGTCATCACTGTGCTAAACAGGGTCTTTTGTTTGCTGTCTCAGCAGCCAGGCAAAGGGCTGAATGGCCAAAAAAGACTGAGTGTCCAGTTTCTCAGCAGTCCTTTCTTATTCCCGAGAAGCAGTGTATGACTGGCAGGGTGAAGCATGGTGTGGGCAGGGGAGCTTTGCTCCTTTTCTGTATATGCTGCCCTTGTTGGCTGAGCACAGTAGAGGCTTTCATATCCTGTCGTGGTCAGACTGGTGCCTTCCTTAGCAGTGAATTCACTTACAAGAGGGAGCACATGAATTGCTCCTTCATTTAGCATCCTAGTTGCCTACGTGGAGGCTGCATCAAATAAACTCTGGTGGTCTCGCTTTCATTCCACTTACAAATCCCTGGCAAAGAGCATCTGTTTCTTGTGGTTTACCAGGTAGACAGACTTTTTTGCTTTTTTCTTCCTTGTCCGTAATCCACTAGCACCTTGACTGGACTTCACACAGTGAGTGCTGACCTGAGCCTGGAAGTACACGGGAGGAAAACTACCCTAATTCCACATCTCCATGTTGTGTTTTCCTTGGGTTAGACCTGCAACAGATGTGATGAGACACTGATCTATGCTGCCTGGCTTTTTGCCCTCAGGCTAGCCTGGAAACATACCGCTATGATTTCCATGGCCTCATCCTCTGCCAAAGCAGGGAAATGAGTTTTGTCTTCAGGTGTGCTTGGAGTGGGCCAAGCATGAAGGAACAACTCTTATATCTGTTGTTGCTTGAGTTAATTTTTTTTCCTAGGTAATCAAGCCTCAAAGTATAAATAAGCTGGCAGCTTTTACTGGTCCCTTGTTCACTTGTGTTGGACTCTTGTGGACCACTCTTTCTCTGGACTAGCACTGTAGCTGCTTTGCTGGCTATTCAGAGCTAAGCTGCAGTCACAGCAGTGACTTGTCTGCTCTTATGCCTCAGCTTACACACTTTTAGTGGAGTGGCATTGTGGGATTACTGCTGGGCCTCCTCTCTGTGTTCATGGGACTTGGCTTTCTGGATGTGACTTTTGAAAGCAACAGGATTAGCCCTGCTGACTCTTGGAGCAACAGAGTGCAAGGAGGTGGGAAGACACCCATGGCCTTAATTTTGACTCTGCCTGCACCAAAGCCCTATAAACATGGGCTATTTGCAGATGGTGCTGCCACAGAGGGGATGTTGGGGACAGGAGAAGCAGCAGCTAGTGCAGGATAGGTCCTCATGGTAACATCAGTCATGGCCTCTCTTTGCCTGTCCCATATGATTGATGATCGTTTGTTTGGGTTTTTTTCTCCAGTGTCTGTCCACTTCAGCTCCACCCCATCTCTGTCCATCCTTTTCCCTGGGCTCAGTTTAGCCTTGGCTTCTCCTGTATGTGTGTTTGGAAATGGGTAGGCAAAAATTGAACCCTATACTTTTGACCCCTTGAGCAGCTTGTGGGGTCAGAATATTCAGTGTGAGTAGATTTTGCATGCACTTTTCAGATAGGTAAGATGAATATTGCTCAAAGCTGGCTTCCAAATGGCTGATCACTGCTGTCAGGAATAGAGATATGCTTCCATTTCTTAGCTGTGGTATCTCTAGCCTGATAATATTATATTGACATCAACAAGAATGGTCATCCTAGTACTTGGCTTTGTAATCAGTACCATTGGGGAATATTGGTACTTGCCCATACACTGAATTCATCTGTGGCTCTCATTGGTGTCAATGCTTCTCCAGGGGGTGGCCTGCTTGGGACAATTTCTTTTTTTCATCCCTGACAGTTGTATTCATTTCTTTTCAGATGAAAAGCCGACCCTTGTTCATGACACTTACTTACTTTGTCCTGCCCCAGTGATAGAAGATGCTGGACAGTAAGTATTGCTTTCCAACACGTGTCAAGAGAGAGGGGACTTCTGAATAAGGATGTCAATACTTAGCCAAGGGCTCAGAATTGTGCCCCAAGTGCCAAGCTTATAAATTTGTGTGTGTGTGGCAGGATTACAGCCATCCCCTTTGTGCCAAATCCTCTCTAATATGAGCCTGCATAGCTCTATTCAATGTTGGGCCTTTAGCACAGCTTAACCAAAGGTCTTGTTGGACCATGTCCCCATATCATAGAACCATAGAATGGTGATTTCTTGTCTGTGCCTATATCCTGTTTTTTCAGACCAAAAAAATAATTGAATTCCAGGCAAACTTTTCATTTTGATTAAAAAGAGGTGCTTGATTTGAATTCCTTTGCTGCTGTTGTAGATGTTGCTTCCTGTGTTTTGCCCTGCTCTGTCTAGTGTTGGTATTTTTCAGCTGTTTTAATCCTGCAGACTCCTGGGAGACATGGCACAAGGCCCTACCTTCCCCCTGGGTGATCTTGTGGGTGCTTGAATACTGTACTGGGGGTGAGGAGGAATGCTTCCCTCCCCTTTCCTATTTGTGGATGAGGGAAAGTTGTTTGATGGGTTTTTGTTGGCTTTTTTGTTTGGTTGGTGTTTGTTTGGGTTTTTTTCCCTCAAACTCTTTCTCTGATATTGGAGAATGGCTAGGGCCAGATTCTTCTTTAATTTCACTGTCACTTCAGTGTTTTTACCCTTGACCTCAGTGACATATTCTGGATTTGCTTGGATATAAAAGAAAACACATTCTGGCTCTTTAAGCTGCAGAAGGGTTTTCAAAAAAAAAAAGTCTTAAAGTTTCTTGTGCTATCTAGGATAGCATTGCAAATGTCTGAGACTTTACGTTATGACTTGCTGTCCTAGTGTCCTTTTCCCCAGGTGGGATGAAGTTTTTTTTAATAAAGAGCATATGCCCCAACTCAATTAAGCCAACATAAAAAGGGTAGCTCCTGGGCAAGCAGAGACAGAGGCAGGTGAGCACCTGAAGCCATGAAAATGCCTTGACTCAGCAGGGCATGCTATCCATGCGTGTTCATGAGCCAATGGCCAAAACACAGTCAGAATAAAGGTAACAATGGGTATAAAGATGACACTAAAAATAAGTGTATCTGTTTTGTGCTTTAGGGTGGTTTTCCTACAAGTCAGCATGAACAACGGGCTAACGTTCATCTCCAGCTCTGTCAGCATCACCAGCACACACTGTGTAAGTAATTGCAATGGGGCTTGACAGAGAAAGCATGAGATCTTAGTATGAGACGGTGGGTCTTCAGGCAAAGCCTCCTTGAGTGAGCATCAGCTCTACAGCTTCTGCATCACAGTTACTGACTGCATCCCAGCAGTTCTTTGAAAAATAACCAGAGCTAGTTAAGATTAAATTGTTATTGTTGACAGGTAGATCATGGTAGATTTAATGAATAAAAAAATTACAGCAAAAGGCACCCTGCCCATTTGTATCCCAGGAAAGAGGGATCCTCAAAGCTAGGATCTGACTAGAAGGGAATCTGAGAAAATGAGGGAAGGAGCATTAGGAAGCAACACCCTGTTGAGCTTTGGGATCCCTTATGAGATCTGGAGTGAAAGGTGCAACTGCCAGGATGTGGATCTGGAAGGGCCACAGCATGGAAGGTCCTCTAAATTTACATGGTTATTTTTTGGTTGGAGCTCACAGCATTTGTTCTTAGATCACTACAATTTGCCTTTACTTGTTCAGGATTTGCTATGGTGTTTTTACAGTTTTTAATGTCAGGGGCTGGTTACTTTTCTCTTAGTGGCATGGAGGATGACCAAAAAGAGATAGCAGCCTTGGAACCTGGGATAAGCTTCTTGATAAAAGGCTGCTGCTCAACCCAGCCGAGGGAGAATGTGCCACTGTGGGACAGCGATGGCTTTGATATGAGCATCTCTTGGTCAAAAAGACCAGGTGGGGCATCAGGGACCAACAGCTAGAAGTGATCCTTTATCAAATCTGATTTTAGAATCAAACAATAAAAATTGAGAAGCTGGCTACTAGATACGGAGTCTTCCTTGCCTTGGAGTAAAAATAGGCAATGCCCATAGCTGGTGTAAACAAGTACAGTAGCTAAAGATGTGGCCTTGTACTTGTGGACTAAACCAAGTTGGCTGAAGTTCTTGATAATAAACACTGTGTATCAAAGTTGAGCTTTATTGTTATTAGTGTCAAAAGGACTTTTATAGCCTATGCCAAATGCTGTCATACTGGTTTGTAATCATTGTTGGCCTTTTTGACAGCTACAGAACAGAAGGGCCGGCATGCAGAGAGAGGCAGTAGTGACTGGAGCTTGCAAATCTTATTTTCTGATGTTTTCAGCAACAAAGCTGGGAAATACCACACCAAATTGCTGGTACCGTCTGGGGTGCAGGGACTCAGAATTTAGCAGAGATGTGTTTGCTGCTTCACCTGATTATTTTCCAAACTTTCCTCCAAATTTTCTACGCTCAGGGCTGATATTTTCACATTTTTTTTCCCCTCTTCTACCTTGGGTACAGCAAAACCTTTTGAGTCTGCAGTGAAACACAAGTGTTAACTGGTGCATTTAATTACCCATATGTAACTTATTTCTGATGAAGACTGAAGTCTTACCCCTAGCTGGGGTTCCTAAAGGCCAGAGCATGGATGGAGGAAGCTTTCCTCTTGGTAGCCTTAGGATAGGGAGAGGAATCCAATCTCCAGTCCTGTCAATCTGACAACTTTTGACCAGCCTCTGGCAGATTGAATGTGAAAGAGGCAGGAAGCCTGATTCTCAGCTGGTACAAAAAGACTGTCTCGCTGCAGTTATATCCCATAAGCAGGGATGCTGGCAGTTCAGTTTCCAACTTTGTCTTAATTTCTTGTATTTCACTGTTCTTGTTTTAGAGACTGCCTCCATTTCCTTTCCTCTCACATTTCCTTTTCTGTGAGTGGCAGTCAGCTGGCCTGCTCAGCTCTCCTCCCCAGCTGGCCCTTCTGTCCTTTCCGTACAGTAAGTATCTTCACTTTACTCCTAAAGCCTCTGTGTGATCCCTGTTCTTATTTCTGTTCAGCTACATGAAGTTTGCTATTTCCTTTTCAGTCTGGCTACACTATGATGCTTTGTATATTTAATCATTGAAAGAGGACTCTTCAGCTCCTGAGCTGCTGCTGGCAAATGTCTCAGCGATTTATATGAGCACTTAGCACGGGAAAAGCGATGCCTGCAAACAAAGGCTGTAAAACAAGGAGATAATGTGTGTTTGGAGTAACAGTAGCAGTGGTCTGTGCATCTGTGGCTCATGCACTGCATTGCTACTGTGCTTGTATTTGGTTTTAAGGAGTGCAGCAATACCTCAAGTTATGCTTGACTTACTCATCCTTTTCTCAGCAAATGGACTACACTGGGAATTTATTCCTCTCAAGTGCCTGCTTTCCAGATGCATTAGTGCCGCATGAGGCCATAGGAGGGCCAGAGAGGCAGGCTGCAGCACTGAACTGTAGCTTTGTAGTGTGTCTTCTAACACAGGATTCCTTTGAGCAGGGGGTTTGGCACATGTTGCAGCACTCCACCTTGGCTTTCAGCTGTTCCCTGACCAAATGAATGAGATCAGCTAAATAGCGTATCCCCAACCAGGTCAGTTTGTTGCATCTGTAACAAGAAGCCAGAGAGCAGTAGAGGGATGGTGATACTGTGACTCAGAGATATGGGGTACTGGGCTACCTGCCTGAAATCATGGAATAGAAGCTGTGGTTGTGTTAGTCCCATCTTGAACATGTCAGTGCTGACAGCTCTAGGATTTGGCCTGAGAAAGAACTAGGTATCACCCAAGTCAGCCACTCAGGATCTCACCTAGACTTTGCAAAGCTCTTATCAGCTGGTACTTTCTTTTCCACCCTCAGCCTTTTCATTGTCCAAGGGGAAAACAAACCCACTTGGAACAGTGAAGGAACTCCTGTTGTAAGAGGGGGCTGAGCGTCAGTTTCTGATGTCATGGGAATTCAGCAAGCAGTTTCAGATTTAATAGTGAATCTCATCTACTTTATCCTCCATAAATCTTCTTTGGAATTTGCTTCCTTTCCATATATCCACCCACCTATCCTTCTCTGAAAATCTCTTATAGCTTCCTCTCTAGCCAGCTTCTATTCCCTCAGCCTGATTCACAGACCTTTCTTCCAGCTCTTTTCACATCTTCCTAGTCCCACGCTCTCCTTTAGTTTGCTAAGTTTTGCCTGTTCTCTGGTACCCCTGTTGCTGGTGAACTGAACCTCTTCTCAAACTCAGAAAATCTACCATTGAAGAGGTTTCTTTTCCCAGTATAAAAGAAATGGCTGGAGCACCAGAGCTAATCTTAACCTCATCCCAGAGCCCAGTGCAGTCCAAGGAAACAGCATCTCCCAGCATGCCACTGCCCATCTGCAACAAATGTTTAATTTCCAAAAAGCCATGTGCTCTGTGTTCTGCAGGGGCCAAGCAGCATATGAAGACCTGCTTTCCTGTAGTCATCAGAGCAGTACACAGAGTTAATAGCTCTTCTGAACACACTGACATGAAATGCTCTGAGTGCAAAGAATCCATCAAGATTTACCCAGGGAAATCAAAACTGTGATTCTCTTTGGTTGCCTGGCTGCTCTGAAAACCTAATTCAAGTTAACACTTGAAGTTTTTGGGGTTCAAGCTCTTTAAAGAAAATTTAACTTTGATTTTGAATGTAGACCCTTAGCTCTCCAGCCCCAGAGTCCCACCATTCTCTGCAGAGAAATAGATGGAATATAACAATCAGAAATGCTTAAGATCATGATTACAGCATCTCATTAAAAATAGTCAAACCAGCTCTATGAAGCATACCAAGAACCAGCAGCATTAAACGCTAGTTTGCATAATCACTCAGGCTGGGGTTATGTGTGCAGTTTGAGTCACAAGGCAATACAGGCAGGCTTGGGAGCTGATGAGGCTGAGCAAGTAAGTTTTCCTCTGTTCTGTGATGTTGACATGTGAACAATTACCCATAAACTCTTAGCTCCAATATTCCCGTTCTTTGAATATCAGCATTTGTGTATTTTGCATCTCTAGTGATGAAAGGTTACTCTGAACACCTAAGAGTCTGTGGTTGTGTAGTTTGCAATACCCCTCTGACAGTATTAAGGGACCTGTCAGCACAGATTCGGGAGTAGTTTGTGTACAAGTTTAACACCCTTGAATCTAGTGGACTACAAACATACTATAAATCTGTACATAAATCAGACACAATCATACACGCCACAAGCAGGAGGTTCTTCCCTGAATCATGACTTCAAATACAGATTTGTCATAGAAAATACTGATGTGACCCTAATGACAATAGTAATTGACTGCACAATCTACCTGAGACCTTGCAGTGAGGGAAACCTGGCTCATTTTGCCTAGTCTAAATGTGTAACTTCAGGGCTCCTGCCTTGTTTGTGACATGCGCAGATAACTCAGAAGTCATTGTCTTGTTTGCAGCTGACTGGGACCATCCTTTTTATTGCTCTCCTGATTCTCTTTCTGCTGCTGGCTCTGGCTCTTCTGTGGTGGTTCTGGCCCCTTTGCTGCACAGTGGTAAGTACAAGTTTTTATTTTTTTGACTTGGTTTCATCTCTTCTCTGTGAAAGCACAGAGCTAAGTGTTGGAGTGGGTGGTTAACTTTGTTAAGAAAAATGCTGCCAGGTTTGTAAGGCCCTGATTCAACAAATTACTTAAAGTACTTATTGAAGTCACTCTGATCTGGGTTTCTGAATGTTGCAAGGCCTATGTGATTTTGACACTGAATGATAAGTTTAAGTGAGCTTGTGGACATGGCCCAAGTTTCTGTAGGGATCAAGACCTCCGTAGAACAAGATTTGAAACCTGCTGCAGAAAAGTGTAATGGAACTGATTTGCTAATGTGTGTGTAAGCTGTTACAGTCCTTTTTAGAGACAAAAGTTAGGCATTCTTTTTTTTTTTAATTCAGAGGAGCTGCAGATTCTGCATGACTATTTTGTACTAGCTTAGTAACTATAGGATATTTTTGAGGCCGAACTACCAGAATATGGAACTGTATTAAGAGTTACTTAATAGGTCACTTCTTGACTAATCACATGGTTCAGTGTGAACGATTTAGCTTCTCATCTGCATTTATTTTATACCCACTGTAAAGCAATGGGGCTAATGAGAGGATTGAATGTTGGGGAATGGAGCAGGGGCAACCCATCTGTGACATGAGCAAGAAAGCAGAGAGGACATAACATTGAGATGGATGAACTCTACCATTATCTCAGATTTCTCCCATTGTTTATGTATTACAGGTGATCAAGGAGCCGCCGCCACCACCACCTCCAGAGCCTGTGAGTATGCTATTTTTGAGCTGTTGCACTGTCTACAGCCAGTGTATTGTGC